TTCGGCAGCAGCCCAAGCTTCAACACGCTGGATTACTTGATCGGTAACGGGTAGTACGACAACCTTGGGTCGAGAAATCATCTTCTTAGTATTCAGGTTGAGCACTCGGTGCCCTGTACGTTGTCCCCTCGTAGGTTCAATGTAGATCGCTTCAATACTTCGCGGTTCCATCGAATTGTTGGAATCCGTCCCAATTGCATGAACATACTGTCCAAGCTCAGCAACAATGTCACTCTTGTAGTTGATAAGAAGGAATCATGGGAAAGATTCATGGCCAACAGATTTCTGTATAATTCCGATAGAGCCAAGTATCAATCAAGAATTGATGGAATGACGGCGCAGTACACGTTGAAGCATCTGGATTTCAAACAAGGTTGTACATTTCCAACTACTTTGGAAAATGCTGCTGATGTTTTGAATCAAAACAAGCACGATAATAGGAAGAAAAATTCGAATGGAGGAAATTCGAATGGACAAGGGAAACAAAATAAGTCAAACAACAATCAAAATGACGGAGCTCAGTTTTCGCAACAACAAACTCGAGCGTGTTTTGTGTGCGGATCGAAAGATCATGTCGCACCTCAATGTGCGGACAAATTTAAGCTGCGGGAACAGTGGAAAAACCCGGACAAATATAGGGATTATTCGGAGGAGAATGGTCGTGGTAATCGACAAAATATTCAACGTGATGAAAATGCAACGCGTAATGATAATGAATCAGGTGATTCAAATACTCAATGGAACTATGGACGTTCCAACAATGGATCCCATGGAGGACAATTTATTCAACGAGGACATGCTGACAATCATCCAAGACAACAAGGGATGATGTTATTTCAACACAACAATACTGGTATACACTTGGATAGTGGATCTACTTTTCATTTGCGAACCAATGAAGATGACTTTAAAGAAGGAAGTCTACAAGGAATTCATGGAGGATTCCATTATGCCTCTAATGTCGAGGGAAGAGAACTTTATCAAGAAGGAATTGATAAGGTATTTGATTCTGTATGTAAGCTTGACACACGAGCTAGTGACAACGTCAACAGCTTGTCGAATATGGTACAAGATGGATTTGATGTATTTATGGACACAAAGAGAGAGAACAGCTTCTTTGTGACCAGAAACGGGACTACATGGCGATTTGGACATCGCAATGGATTATATACTTTGGTTGACGAACCTGCTATGGTAACAGCAATGTTCCATGACCATGCACGTGGACTTGATAATGATGATGTGCAAGGGTACTGTGCTCTACAGAGTGTGGAGAAGAACAAAGAGGGTTTCACAAACAAACAAGTGAAACGAGCAAATGTTGCACGGAGTGGCTATCATATGATGGGGGCACCTGGTGCAGAACTATTCAAGTTGGCGATTCGGGGAAATTTTTTCAAAAATTGTCCAATTACGGAGGAAGATGTTAATATCTCTGAAAAGATATATGGACCAAGCGTTTCAACAATTAAGGGCAAACAAAAGCGACCAACACCGAAGGCGGTGGTTGATGATTGGATCAAAATGCCCAAGGAACTACTGAAACACAATTCGAACCTGGATTTATGCATCGACATTATGTTTATCAACAATGTCGCGTTTTTTGTCAGTATTGACAAAGCGATCAAATTCCGATTCAGTACTGAACTGAAAGATCGGACAAAAGATGCTATTTACAAGTCGATTGACGAAATTTGTGGCAAATTTGGATGATAATGAGAATGAAAATGATGAATCTGACGATAAGTCGGACGAATCAAGTGACGACGATAATTATGAAAATGATGAAGTGAATAAAGAGGACATATTCAGTCCAAGGAAAACCAGGAGTGGCAAATCTTATGTTCAAGATGGAATAAAAATGAGACCAACCGAACGTAACAATCGAGATTGATCAAGGTATAATCAACAATACCTAAATCGAAAGAAACCAAAGTGCAATTCGTTAAATAACAGGAGTGCAATGAGAAAAAAGGAAAAAGTCAAGAAATTGAAAGGTTATTTGAATGAAATAATTTCAATGAAGGAAACTTTAAGGAAAAGGATTCCAAAAGAAGAGTCTAAATACAATCTACTATTCCAACAGGTTGGAAGTGACAAGAAAGCCGAATATGGAAAAGATAAGGCAACTCTGATTGCGCGATTCATTCAACAAATCAAGGATAAAGTTCAAAATGAAGGAGTATCGTTTATCCAACAATACTACCTAAATAAGGGACTGAAATTATTCAAAGAAGAAGGTAATAAGGCTGTGATGAAAAAGCTTGACCAATTGATACAGAGAGAATGTTGGGAACCAGTTCATGTTGAAGACATGACTGATTTGGAAAAAAGAAGAGCCCAAGATGCTATGATGTTATTAGCTGAGAAAAACACTGGTGAAATAAAAGGAAGATGTGTATACAAAGGAGATGGAACTCGAGAATGGCTATCTCGAGA